CCCCAAATGTCCCCACACGGGCTGGGGACAGTCCCTGCCTCACCCCCCCGTGTCCCCAAATATCCCCACACGGGCTGGGGACAGTCCTGGCCCCACATTCCACCCCCAAGCACCAGCAAATCCAGGGGTTGGAATCCCAGCCCCGTGTCCCCAGAAGTCCCTGGACATGTTGGGGACGGTCCCAGCCCCATGTCCCCAAAGGTCCCAGGACAGCTGGGGACATTCCCTGCCCTGTGTCCCCGTGTCCCCAAAGGTACCAGGACATGCTGGGGACATTCCCTGCCCTGTGTCCCCATGTCCCCAAAGGTGCCAGGACACGCTGGGGACATTCCCTGCCCCGGCACCACCAAACCCGGGTGTTGGTGCCTGTCCCACCACCCCCTGCAGCCCGGACACGGCCGGGGATGTCCCCACCCCGAGGTGACACCGAGGTGACACCAAGGTGACACCAAGGTGACACTGAGGTGACCCCGAGGTCCCCGCAGGCGGTGGCCGAGATGCTGATGGAGAACAAGACCCTGCAGAGCCTCAACCTCGAGTCCAACTTCATCACGAGCGCGGGGATGAGGAGCATCATCCAGGCCGTGCCCCACAGCCCCGCCCTGGCCGAGCTCCGCGTCGACAACCAGGTGGGCACAGGGACACCCCCTGGAATGTCACCCCCTGGAATGTCACCCCCTGGAATGTCACCCTCTGTGTGGCCACCCCCGGCAGTGTCACCCCCTGAAACACAGAGGAGATGGGGGACAGGGGGACAGGGGGGACAGGGGGACACAGGGGAGGTGACAGGGGTGTTCCTGGTGGACAGAGCTGTTCCTGGGGGACAGGGGAGGTGACAGGGATGTCCCTGCTGTCCCTCCCCGCAGTGCCAGCACCTGGGGGACACGGTGGAGATGGAGATGGGGGACAAGAGTGTCCCTGGGGAACATGGGGGGGGGACAGGGGAGGTGACAGGAGGACAGGGGAGGGACAGGGGGACAGGGGAGGTGACAGGGATGTCCCTGCTGTCCCCACACCACAGTGCCAGCGCCTGGGGGACAGGGTGGAGATGGAGATGGGGGACAGGGGTGTCCCTGGAGGACAGGGGAGGTGACAGGGGTGTCCCCGATGTGTCCCCCCGCAGTGCCAGCGCCTGGGGGACACGGTGGAGATGGAGATGGGGGACAGGGGAGGGGACAGGGGAGGTGACAGGGCTGTCCCCGATGTCCCCTCCTTGCAGTGCCAGCGCCTGGGGGACACGGTGGAGATGGAGATGGCGGCGATGCTGGAGCGCTGCCCGTCCGTGCTGCGCTTCGGGTACCACTTCACCCAGCAGGGCCCCCGCGCCCGCGCCGCCAGCGCCATCACCCGGAACAACGAGCTCCGTGAGCGGGAAAACCGGGAATGCCGCGGGAAAACCGGGAACGGGGGCGGGGCGAGGCGCGGAGAGAGAGATCGGACCCGACCCACCCCTTAAATCCCGGGAATTGAGGCGGGGGAGTCACAGGGACTGGGAGGGAGGTCCGAGACCACCTCCAGGAGTGTCCCCCGAGTCCCGTCTGGGCAGGAATTTGGCGGGGAATCCTGGGAATTGGGGGGGGGGGGAAGGGAATCCCAGGGATTGGGGGGGCAAAGGGAATCCCAGGAATTGGGGGGAAATCCCGGGAACTGGGGAGGGAAAGGGAATCCCAGGGATTGGGGGGGGGAAGGGAATCCCAGGAATTGGCGGGGGGAATCTCAGGAATTGGGGAGCGAAGGGAATCCAAGGAATTGGTAGAGAGTCCCAGGGACTGGAGGGGAAAGGGAATCCCAGGAATTGGTGGAGAGTCCCAGGGATTGGGGGAAAGGGGGGTCCAGAGCTGATCCCTCCCATTACAAAGAGCTTCGGGAGCATCCCTGAGTCCCCTCCAGGCAGGAATTGGGGAGAGGAATCCCAGGAATTCTCAGACCTGACCCCCCCCCTTTTTCTCTCCCCCCAGGCCGGAAGCAGAAGAAAACCTAAACCAACCCCCCAGGAACGAGAGACCTCTGGGAATGCTGGAAATAAAGCTGGAAAGACACGGATTTGAGACCCCTTTGGGGCAGGATTGTGCCACAGGATTTTTGGGATCCAGGGAATTGGGCACGGGGGAGTGACACCCCAAAAAGGCACCAGGTTGAGCAGGAAAACACCGGGATCCCCCAGATCCCCCTTTTCCCAGCGGCTCCGACAGCTCCAGGTGTCCAGGCCTGGATTCCCGGGGGATTTGGGGACAGGGAAGGTCACATCCAGGTCGGGATTCCCAAAGGATGTGGGGCCAGGGAGGGTCACGTCGGTGGCAGCTCCGGGGGCTCGTCCTCGTCCGAGTCGAACTCGGCGTTCCCGTCCTTCACCCACTTCCCGCAGGGATCCTGGATCCACCCGGAGCTGGGGACGGATGGGACCAGTCAGGGACCAGGCTGGGCCTGGGGGGGGGTTGGGGTGGGGGCATTTGGGCTCAGTTTGGGGTCATTTGGGGCTCATTTTGGGGCTCAGTTTAGGCTCATTTTGGGGGTCAGTTTAGACTCATTTTGGGGCTCATTTGGGGGCTCAGTTTGGGCTCAGTTTGGGGCTCAGTTTAGGCCCAGTTTGGGGCTCGTTTTAGGGCTCAGTTTGGGCTCATTTTGGGGGTCAGTTTAGACTCATTTTGGGGCTCAGTTTAGGCTCATTTTGGGGCTCAGTTTGGGTTCAGTTTGGGCTTGTTCAGGACTTAATTTGGGCTCAGTTTGGGGTCAGTTTGGGGCTCACTTTAGGCTCACTCTGGGCTCGGTTTAGGCTCGGTTTAGTCTTGGTTTGGGCTCGGTTTGGGCTCAGTTTGGGCTCAGTTTGGGCTCGGTTTGGGCCCAGCTCACCTGCGCAGGTGCAGGTGGTGCCGCAGGACCCGGCGCCGCTCCGGGCTCAGCTCGTCCCACACTGAGCAGGATTTTCCCTTCCGGGTCGGAGCCTTCGGAACATCTGGAGAGGTAACGAGGCGGGTGTGGGACCCTCTGGAATGGGATGATCCGGGATGATCCCAGTCCTGCCCCAGAGGTGCCCCCTGGCTCCCACCTGCCCTCCCGCTGCCATGTTCCAGCAGCAGGGCTGGGGATCCTCTGGATTCTCCCACATCCTGGGATTCTCCCACGTTCCGGAGCGGCTCCGGCACCGTCTGGGTGGTGCCGGCCCAGGAGCTGCTTCCCTGGGCCCTGGGATGGGACAGGGAATCAGGGATGAGTCCCACAAACACCTG